CTATTCAGTCTTACACCACAAGTGTGGATTTAACAAGTGATGATTCACCTACAAGCATTGCTACCACTCAAACTGATAAAACAAGTAGCGGCCTAACTACAGAAATGGCTACAACCTGTCTCTTATACACATCTAGATGTGTATAAGAGACAGGTCTGACACCACAAGTGTGGATATTACAAATGGTGGTCAAAGTCTGTCTCTTATACACATCTATTCAGTCTTACACCACAAGTGTGGATTTAACAAGTGGTGCTTCACCTACAAGCATTGTTACAACAAGGTCTCATAAAACAAGTAGCGGTATAACTACAGAAATGGCTACAGCCGAGTCTGATACAACAATTGTGGAATTGAAAAGTAGCTCAACTACAAACATGGTTACAACTCAGTCTGACACCACAAGTGTGGATATTACAAGTGGTGATCAAACTACAAACAGTGCTACAATTCAGTCTTACACCACAAGTGTGGATTTAACAAGTAGTGCTTCACCTACAAGCATTGCTACCACTCAAACTGATAAAACAAGTAGCGGCCTAACTACAGAAATAGCTACAACTCAGTCTGATACAACAAGTGTGGAATTAACAAGTAGCTCAACTACAAGCATGGTTACAACTCAGTCTGACACCACAAGTGTGGATATTACAAGTGGTGGTCATAGTACAAATATTGCTACATCTCAGCCTGACACAATAGGTATGCTTACTAATCAGTCAGAAACAACAAGTTTGGAATTAGCTACAACTAGACCAACTGCAAACATGGGTACAACTCAGTCAGATACAAGAAGTGTGGAATTAACAAGTAGCTCAACTACAAGCATGGTTACAACTCAGTCTGACACCACAAGTGTGGATATTACAAGTGGTGGTCAAAGTACAAATATTGCTACATTTCAGCCTGACACAATAGGTATGCTTACTAATCAGTCAGAAACAACAAGTTTGGAATTAGCTACAAGTAGACCAACTGCAAACATGGGTACAACTCAGTCAGATACAACAAGTGTAGAATTAACAAGTAGCTCAACTACAAGCATGGTTACAACCGAGTCTGACACCACAAGTGTGGATATTACAAGTGGTGGTCAAGCTACAAACAGTGCTACAATTCAGCCTTATACCACAAGTGTGGATTTAACAAGTGGTGCTTCACCTACAAGCATTGTTACAACAAGGTCTGATAAAACAAGTAGCGGTATAACTACAGAAATGGCTACAACTCAGTCTGATACAACAAGTGTGGAATTAACAAGTAGCTCAGCTACAAATATGGTTACAACTCAGTTTGACACTACAAGTGTGGATATTACAAGTGGTGGTCAAGCTACAAACAGTGCTACAATTCAGTCTTACACCACAAGTGTGGATTTAACAAGTGGTGATTCACCCACAGGCACTGCTACTACTCGTTCTGATAAAACAAGTTTTGGTCCAACTACAAACACTGCAACAACTCCGTCTGACACCACAAGTATGGAGTTAATAACAAAGGATTCTGCTACAACAAGTGGTCAAACCACCGACTTTGCTAGAGCTTTGTCTAATACAGCAAGTGGTTCAACTACAAACATTGCTACAACTCAATTTGACACCACACATGTGGATATTACAAGTGGTGGTCAAACACCAAACACTGTTACAACACAGTCTGGCACCATTAGTGCTGATTCAACTTATATACTAAATACAAGTATTGCTACAACATTTTCTCACACCACAAGTGTGGATTTAACAAGTGATGATTCACCTACAAGCATTGCTACCACTCAAACTGATAAAGCAAGTAGCAGTCTAACTACAGAAATGGCTACAACTTTGTCAGATACAACAAGTGTGGAATTAACAAGTAGCTCAACTACAAGCATGGTTACAACTCAGTCTGACACCACAAGTGTGGATTTTAGAAGTAGTGGTCAAGCTACAAACAGTGCTACAATTCAGCCTTACACCACAAGTGTGGATTTAACAAGTGGTGATTTACCTACAAGCATTGCTACCACTCAAACTAATAAAGCAAGTAGCGGTCTAACTACAAACATGGCTACAACTCAGTCTGATACAACAAGTGTGGAATTAACAAGTAGCTCAACTACAACCACGGTTACAAATCAGTCTGCCACAAGTGTGGATTTTACAAGTGGTGGTCAAGCTACAAACAGTGCTACAATTCAGTCTTACACCACAAGTCTGGATTTAACAAGTGGTGATTCACCTACAAGCTTTGCTACCACTGAAACTGATAAAGCAAGTAGTGGTCTAACTACAGAAATGGCTACAACTCAGTCTGATAGAACAAGTGTGGAATTAACAAGTAGCTCAACTACAAGCACGGTTACAACTGAGTCTGACACCACAAGTGTGGATATTACAAGCAGTGGTCAACCAACAAATATTGCTACATCTGATCCTGACACAATAGGTATGCTTACTTATCAGTCAGATACAACAAGTTTGGAATTAGCAACAAGTAGATCAACTACAAACATGGCTACAACTCAGTCTGATACAACAAGTTTGGAATTAACAAGTAGCTCAACTACAAACATGGTTACAACTCAGTCTGACACCACAAGTGTAGATATTACAAGTGGTGGTCAGGCTACAAACACTGCTACAATTCAGCCTTACACCACAAGTGTGGATTTAACAAGTGGTGATTCACCTACAAGCATTGCTACCACTCAAACTGATAAAGCAAGTAGCAGTCTAACTACAGAAATGGCTACAACTCAGTCTGATACAACAAGTGTGGAATTAACAAGTAGCTCAACTACAAGCACGGTTACAACTCTGTCTGACACCACAAGTGTGGATATTACAAGCAGTGGTCAACCAACAAATATTGCTACATCTGAGCCTGACAAAATAGGTATGCTTACTTATCAGTCAGATACAACAAGTTTGGAATTAGCCACAAGTAGACCAACTACAAACATGGGTACAACTTTGTCAGATACAACAAGTGTGGAATTAACAAGTAGCTCAGCTACCAATATAGTTACAACTCAGTCTGACACCACAAGTGTGGATATCACAAGTGGTGGTCAAACTACAAATATACCTACATCTCAGTCTGAAACAACTAATATGCTTACTACTCAGTCAGACGCAAGTTTGGAATTAGCAACAAGTAGCTCAACTACAAACATACGTACTTCTCTGCTTGACACCACAAGTGTGTATATTGCAAGTGGTGATTCACCTACAGGCACTGCTAATACTTGGTCTGATAAAACAAGCTTTGGTCCAACTACAAACACTGCAACAACTCAGTCTGACTCCACAAGTATGGAGTTAATAACAAAGGATTCTGCTACAACAAGTGGTCAAACTACAAACATTGCTGCAACTCAATTTGACACCACACGTGTGGATATTACAAGTGGTGGTCAAACACCAAACACTGTTATAACACAGTCTGGCACCATTAGTGCTGATTCAACTTATATACTAAAAACAAGTATTGCTACAATTAATTCTCACACCACAAGTGTGGGTTTAACAAGTGGCTTTTCTACTGAAGGTATTGCTACAACTCTGTCTGAAACCGCAAATAAGGAAATTACAAGTGGTTATTCAACTCAGTTTGACACCACCACTGTGGATTTAACAACATATGATTCAACAACAAATATTGCTACAACATCATTTGAAACAACAAGTGTGAAGTTAACAAGCAGTGGTTCAACTACAAACGTTGCTACATCTCAGTATGATACAACAAGTGTGGATTTAACAACAGCTGGTCCAAATAGAAACACTTCTACAACTCAGTCTTACACCACAAGTGTGGATTTAACAAAGGGTGATTCAACTACAAGCATTTATACAACTATGTCTGACGCTACAAGTGTAAATTTTACAAATGGGGACCAAAGTACAATTATTGCTACAAACCAGGCTGACACAACAATTGTGGATTTATCAACAGGTATGTTAATAATGTTAATGGTTATAGTAGGACCTACTAAAGTATGCTCTTCCTTTCGGAAAGGTGGTGCTTGCTTCTGAAGAAATCATGTAGTAAACCAATTACAAACAAATTCTAAAAACAAAAAAATGCAATTTATGCAATGTCAGCAAAAAAATAAACATTGATACAGATATAACAATGCAGATTCTTTTTATATATAATTATTAATATAAATGTATGTAAAACAAATTCTCTTCTAATTTACTATCCTATTGTTCTATAATTCTACAATAATATTCTGTATTTTACAATTAATGGATTAGCTGTATTAATGAAATACCTTTCAAACACCTTTTCAGGTGTTTGAAATCTAATCTAAACAGAGCAACCCAGTATACGCATTTATACATAGAGAGAAAAAGTGAGCCGTTAAACGATTTGCTAGAAGAAGTGATTCATGAATATGAGTTTACAAAAAAATTATATTGGAAAACTTGAAATTCATTTTATTTTGTCTTTATTTTGGAATTCCATAGAAAGAAGAACATGCAAATAATGATTTAGAAAAGAGAAACCAAAAAAGCCTATAAATACACTATACACATATGTATAAGAAAATATAAGAAATAATATAACCAAGATATTTACACGTCTGTTTTCTCATCTAGATAACGAGGCGCCTGTGTTTGATTGCAACATCGATAACGTGACTGTACAAGTAGGCAGGTATAGTTCTACCTCCACAGTTAATTGGATCTTGGAAGATGCAACTGACAATGTGGGTGTAGTCAGCACGACGCAGTCTCATAACCAGTCATATGCCTTTAAAATTGGCAAGACAGTAGTTACTTATACAGCAACGGATGCTGTTGGCAATGAAGGAATATGCTCATTTGAGGTTATTGTACTTGGTACGATTTACATTTAATGCTTAAAAACGTCTGTCCCCCTTCCCTTATTACTAGGCTGGTGAATCCCTGCCTAGTAAATGAAAACACAAATGTTGATTATTATTATTATTATTATTAATATTATTATTAATATATATATAATTATGTGTCTATTTCGTGAATACTTACCTGGATAAACCGATAAATGCCTAAGTTTCCTTTGAAACCTATCTCTCAAACGTAAAAGAAAATTAATGGACTCGCCCTAGCTCGCCTATATACTCCCTGCGTGAATGAAGGATATCCTCGTTTACTTCTCGCTTTTGTCTTGTATAGACGTGTGAAAGCTTGCTATAGTTGTTAAACAAAAAAAAAAGTTGTAGTGTTTCCTGTTGCCATTATTATTATTATTAATATATATATAATTATGTATTCATATATATTGACAATCAGCATAATTTTATGACATGTTCTATTTTATTAGATTTAATACCACCCGAGATAGACTGTGAGTTAAATGTGACTGCATATACTGATCAAAATTCAGCAACTGCAAATGTTTCTTGGATGTTGCCGAGAACATCTGACAACAGTGGCATTGAACCGAAAATAGATTCAAACTTTGAGCCCTATACTTTATTTAGTATCGGTTCAACTGATGTGATGTATACGGCTACAGATGAATCAAACAACACAGCTACTTGTTCATATCCCATTATTGTTATTGGTAAGCTTATCCCAGTGGTCAGATATGACATGATATGATTTACTCTAGGTGTGAGAATGATTCTTATAACTATTCTTTTCTTTGTCTTTTGTCATAGATATGGAAGATCCTGTTCTTATATGTCCATCAAACATGCCATTTGTTGAAACTGATTCAAGAAGCGCAGCGGCTATTGTAACGTGGGTGACTCACGTCGAAGACAATTCAGGCCAATTTGAAGTAACTTCAACGCATACACCAGGCTATAACTTTCCAATTGGTGTTACAACTGTAGTATATATTGCACAAGATTATTATAAAAATACAGCTGAATGTTCATTTAACATCACAGTCAAAGGTGATACTGTAAATTTCTTATACAGTAATGTGTTTCTACATTTATTAACTAATATGTCATATTATTACCGATTCACCAGTTTATTGTACCATTAACTGTTTTGAAGTGTGTTGCTAATAAACATACGCTTACCAACTGTGATAATATACTTTTTAGTATAAGATCAACTATAATTTATGTGTATTATTTCAGATACGGAAAAACCACACCTTATTTGTCCTGCTAATGTTGTTAGTGATACTGATAAAAATGTAACTTGGAATAGTCCAGAACCAGATGATAACTCTGGGCTGGAGGTTACACTAATTGCATCTGCTTCACCTGACGATGACTGGGAAGTTGGTATACACTCTGTTACTTACACTGCAACTGATAAATATGGGAACGTTGAGACTTGTGTGTTTAATGTCTCTGTTATAGGTAAGTGTTAACAAATACATAAACTATCATTACATTGGCAAAAAGCTAATTAATTTTTGAAAAATCTGTATTTGTTTAAATTTTTATTGGTAGTGGGAACTGCTTTTTGGAGTGTATATTCGTAATCAAGAATTGCTAAGTAAAATAATAATACAGATTTAATATTCAATCATAGTCAGTTATTTTTTTCTTTGAACAGATGCCTGTTTTGTTAATGAATGTTTAAATGGTGGAATTTGTCAAGATTTTAATGGAGAATTTGGATGTATATGTCCATTATTTTATAGTGGAAATATATGTGAAGTTGTTCCAGGTAAGTTAGGCATTGATCATAACTAGAATGTTTACTTTAAGTTACTATTATAGCCGATATTGCAAAATTGATATTCAATATTTTTTAAAACAACCTATCCAAATAGTCAAACAAACTGACCAAACAGAACGTGTTATTCAGAAAAATAGGAATAGATATGCATCCTAAGATGTAGAGGAAATGTGATATCTGTGATTGGCAAATACCATAGCTACATAGCTTTTCCAATGGCTGTGAATACTGTACATTGAATAGTATATAAGAGAGAATTGCTGAATATCTGGAAGTTAAAATTTGTGAATCGGTAATTGAGCTTCCAAGTGTGTAATAAAGGAAAAAATGATTATTCAAGATGCAAATATCTGGACTATCATTTAACTTCACTTTTTCAGATCTTGCCACCTTTTCAGTCACACCAGTTTTAATTAAGGCCGACTTATATGATACTGTTGAACTCAGTTGCAATGTTGCCTATTCAAGTGACTGGCAGTGGTATAAAGATGATGTCCCACTTTTATATACAAAGAACGAATATTTAATAACAGTTACAATGACATTTGAAAACCAGGGTTATTACACTTGTGGTGGATTTGGAGCAGGACCTCACAGTGATACAACATTTAATTCAAACAAAGTTCCATTGGTTATAAATGGTAAGTTTTTTTTATATCAGTCACATGTTATAGTACACAAATATTGACTGCTCCATGTTCGGGGAATGGTGAAATCTATTGCCCTGAGGTGATGTGGAAATCGTAGCCTATAGGCTACGGTCTCCACATCACCGAGGGGCAATAGATTTCACTGTTCCCCGAATTTAGAGCAGTCAATATTTGTTTTATATACCTCATACATAGATTCTACGAGGCCTAAAAAAGTACTTACTTCCTAGCCTGTTGTATTAGAGGCATACTAGGCCTGCTACTACTACTCGACTAACTAGGCCGAATAAATAGATCAAATCTAGGCGATCAACGAGAGTGTGTCTAGCTCTTCTTTGCTTATTTCCTCAATTTCAACAACACCCATTGTCTTGCAATATATTTGTCGAATATTGATAAGACATTAAATTTGTCTTTTGGTGCTTTTGCTATCGGCTTCATCAAGAAGTAATGCTAGGCCTAGGCTAGTCCTCCTTCATCTTAAAATGAGCAGCCTCCATATTTGTTTATCGTCTACTCGCTGATCCGTGACACGGTCAGGATATAATCTTGTTGTAGAGGTTGCATTCCTCTTTACCGTCAGTAGCGCGTTGTAGTGGGCCTAAGGTTTGCGCATCGCGACAGGTCAAAAAAGTACTATTTTTGGGGGGAAATAGTACTTTTTGAGGGGAATAGTACTTTCTATTGCCCTGCTTCTTAACCAATCAGATGCCTAGAATCTATGTATGAGGTATATAATATACAATATACATCAATTAAATTTGGTTATATAATTCTTGTTTCCATTTCACATGATATCAATAATTTGGTTATAGTTACGTTGAATAGCTAAAAAAATAACTTTAGTGTGTAAGGACAATAATGGATATAAACAAGATCATTCGTGTTTTATTGAAAATACATGGAAATTGTTTTATTTGCATAACATATTTCATTAACTGAGTTATGACAATTATATCCATAGACTTTATATGAAGATTTTTTTTTATTCAGGTATTTTTGTTTTATTTGCATAACATTTTTCATTAACTGAGTTATGACAATTAAATCCATAGACTGTATTTGAAGATTTTTTTTTATTCAGGTATCTTAGTATTTCCGGTGTCTTTGACATTTAACCGTGAATTTTCTGAAAATCTTAATGATCCATCATCAACAGCTTTCAAAAATGAATCATCTGTTATCACTGACTTTGTAAGTATATTTAATTGTTTACAGCATAACACAATATTTTCTTAACTCTATTCTTAACAAGTAAATTTTAAATGAATGATTAATTCAATGACTCCATCATCTTGTCATAATATAATTAGCCTACTAACTAGGCTAGCTTAGCTATTCATGCCTGCTCTCTCAAAGAAGGAAGACCGATCAAGGGTGCAAAATATGATGGTATGTTCCTGAGGCGTTCCTACGAGGTAAATGTGATAAACCCATAGAGCTCATATGCGCGTCATAGATTGATAATTCTATAGCAGTGGTAAATATAATTTAGCACTATTAATATAAATGCAAGTTGTTTTGGCATTATATTTCAGGCCATAACATTTTCAATATATTTTATTTTCCAGCTTATCAAGAGTCTGTCACTGAAAGATGAGATAACAATACAAATACGTAGTTTCTCTTCTGGTAGCTTAATTGTTGAGGCGAATTTCTATGTGTTAAACACAAGCACTTCTTATGACGATTTTTCAGAGATTTTAACACAGGAATTAATAAGAATCGGAAATAGTTCTGCTGGATTTCTAAACCCAGATAGCGTTGTGTTAAAAAGCACAGGTACACTCAAGTTAATTAACCTTTTTAGATTTTGTTAATGGTACAATGATAATGAGTAAATTGACTGTGGCGTTGTCGCAGATTTGGACTTGATGTGCTGAATTAGCTCACCACAGCGTTTGGTGTAGTTTAACAGCGCCGCCGCATGTAGGCTTCAGCATGACCACAAAGTAGAGCTAAATAATGGAGTAAACAAGTTTACATTTTAGTTATATATTTTCCACCACCGGTCGTGTTTGAAATAATTTATATATTTCATTTCATTTATTTGTCTCAAACATTCAAATGTAAAGAAACAGCAAAGAACAACCACAATAGCATAAGAAAGAAACATGAGACAGGACACCCCAAAAGTAAACTTAATCACTGTCTAGTGGAGGCCCTTTGACAAAAGAAGAACAAATCCAAACAATATAGAATTCCAAATAGATAAAAGATTGAAAGATCTATAAAAAGAAAACGAGCATAATTTAAAAGGCATTTAAAATAATCTAATGATGCATTAAAATTTATCTTAAATGAAATGTTAAAATACAGCAGTAAAACACAACTTTGAGTTGTAGCATACTATGAAGCAAATTGAGGCAATAAATCACAAATATCTCAAACATGACCTGTGTTCTTCCTTAGTGTAAGTACATAGAAAATAGCAAAGTTGGTTCGAACTTTTATAACCTGAATCACTTTTTTTTCGCAAGTATTTGGAAATGTACTGAGTATTTGGTACGACAACATGTCAGGTAAGTTAAACATCACTACTACTCCTATGATATATTCCTGACGCAAACTCACATCGAAATAGCATTTGCAGTACCCGCTGCTACTTTGTGATCGATCCTACACAAGTCACCAAGCGCAAACTCAGTAGTCTAGTGGTTATGACGCCGGGATAGTTATCTGGAGGTCGTGGGTTCGTTTCCCACCTGAATCACTTGTGAATTTTGTTCGCAAGTATTTGGGAAAGTACTGCTACTCCTATGACATTTTCCTGACGCAAACTCACATCGAAATAATGTTAATCTTATTCTTTAGTTGCCGAAAAAAACATATAAAGTACATATAGGCCTACGTTAGTGGAGGGACACAAAAGTGAATTTAATCAATATATGTGATCCTCACTCATCCAATTTAACAATAAAAAATTAGTAAAATAATAAAGTATTGAAGTAAAATAATGAAGTACTGAATAATAAAGTAAATAAGTACTGAATGAAAGTTACACACAATAAATAAACTGTTATAAATATCTAAATATGATAATAAAAATCAAATAAACATAATTAGTATATTTGTTCTGTAAAACTATTTTTTTTATCAATTAATTGGTGTATTATAGTTTTTATTACATTACTGTATACAGCTAGTACAAGTACTAGTTGTATACAACTAGTACTTGTACTCAGAGGGCCCAGCCCAAACCTCATAGTTAATTAACTAGAGCCAATTGATTCCAGCAATAGACCAAATGCAATTACAGTATAACTGAATTTTCTTTCTTTGAAATCTCTTACCTTTTTTCTTTTTTTCTTTTTTTTTTGTCATTGCCTCAAATGTCAAAAAGTAACTCCAACCCATCATTTTTTTTTAAATAGAAATGTGTTATAGAGAACATTATGATGACCACACATTTCCTGATGCAAAAGTAGGAGAGACTGTACATTCAGAAGAATTCTGTGACGAGAGCAAAGTGAACTGTAAGTTTAAACTATTTTATTGATCTTTCCTATAATTATTATTTAAAAAATAAATGCTACTATTTTTACGTAGAATGCATAACATGTATCCAATCTTAAATGGGTAAATAGTTTCATCTGGTTTCAAATAGCTATAAATATGTATAATTCCTTATGATAAACCAAGTATTACTCACTTTTTGTTTTTGTTTTTGTTTTTGTTTTTTATTTAGTCTTCAAAGTAGGCCATTCGGATAAGCCAATGTGAACCTTTATAAAATAAAAATGAATGAAATTTAATGATTTTTACTGAACAAATATTTGTTAAAATATATAATAATAATTAAACGAATGTCTCTGTATAATCAGATCTTCTGCCTCGTGCTAACCGAACATGTGAAGGTGATGGATTAAGTGCAGCAAAATGGGAAGATCCTGTATTGGCTGACTGTGGACCTGATGCTACTACTGAGCAACTATTAGAACGTCTAAATATGGTGATGGTCAATTGATATAGTTTTTACCATAAAACTACACAGGAGAGGTGCCACTGGGAGGCTGTGGCTCCTCCCTGGTAGCAGCTGCTGCTGTTACTGCTTCTGTTTTAGCAGCTGCTGCTAATAATAATAGTTTTCTAAGAAAGTTGTGATGAATTCGGGTTAAGGTTAAGATTATGGAAAGATATATTTTCTTGTATTCAGGCATCACAGGGTGGGGAATGCAGTCTAAGATCAAGGTCACGAAAATTCATTTTTTTTTGTTAATTTCTTCCTATTATTACTATACAGCATTTAGGCACATGCCGGAGATATGCAATATGAACTGACCGCCCTATTGTTATTATTCTTGGTTTTGTTGTTGCTGCTGAGTTTTTTTTTTCGCCCATAAGGAACTTATAATATTTAACAGTGTGTATTGAATTGTCATTGATTAGCAATATCATCCTTTCTATATCAATATGGTTTAAATAAAAATATATAAATATATGTGTATTTGGTAGACTCAAATGCCAATGCGCAGATTTCTAGCTGCGTTATAAAATTTTCCCGAAGGTGTGTTGTTATTTTTAAAGTGTTAATTAGTCTGTATACCTTAATCATTGGTTTTTAGGTGAGTGTCACCATGGATAACGTTGAAGAAGTTAGCAGCGAAGTAGAAGAAATTACAAGTAATGCAGAAGAAATCACGGTGGAAGCATTGGAAACTACTGCTGAAATATTGACAGATATTCTTCAAACAGATTCTAATTCTACTGAGGTATATGTAATGAAAAAATCATTAATTTGAGAATTTATCTGGACGTTTTTAGTTGGTTGATTATAAAGAATATATTTTTAATGACAACTAGATGCTTCCGGATGCAGAGTGAATACTGGATGTAATGTACAAAGTATACATAACTTTTGGATTTTTTACAATTAGGTGACTCAATCTGTTGTTATGGTAGTAGAAAACCTGTTTAGTGTCGAGGAACAAATTCTAATGGAAAGTCAAATGGAGGATCAGGCTCCTACTAAAATGGTTGAAGTTCTTGAAGATCAGCTGAGCAAAGTAGAGCTAAATGAAGAGGGCATTTATGAAGAAATTACACCAAATATTGCAGTACAGGCTCAGAGGCTTGATGCAAGTCAAGTTAGTGAAGAAGACATCACTTACCTAAGTTTTATATCGGAATCAAGTGAAAACGGTGTAGGTGTTGTTAAAGTTATTGACGATGGCGAGAAAATACCTGAGGCTGCCAATGTGTCAATTGCTCTGCCAACCACCATATCTGACGTCATCAAGAATAATAACGAGACAGGTATATAATAATTACATATATAAGTAATATTAATAAAGTGAAAGCACCTTGTAGCTTTAGAATATCAATGTAAAACTTGTGTAATGATTTGCTTCATGTGGTATGGTATAAGGTAACAAAATCTATATATATTTTTTTTCACATATGGATAGCTGGTATGATGTGAATAATCTAAATTAGACACTATTAATATAAATATTTGTCAAGATGTAGGATGTTAATAATATGTTTTTAGTAATGATTATATAGATAGGCTAAATCCAGCAATTGTATGGTACATCAGTTTTTCATAATTAAGGAAAATGGTAAAACATAATAATAATAATAATAATAATAATAACATGTGTTTAATGTTTACAGATTTCAGGATTGTAGTGATTGTTTACAACGACAGTAGGTTGTTCCAATCTGCTCAGTATGTTAACGATAGCTCAGGCCGCCGACCAAATAGTCAAGTTATTTCTCTGTCAGTGCCTGGATTAGATCGTGTTGAATTGGACGAGCCAATCGTTACCACGTTCATTCCCATTGAAGTAAATATGTTGTCAACTTTCTATGAATATAATAATAATAATTATTATTATTATTATTGTTATTATTGTTTAGGTTTAATATTATCATAACAGTGCAATAGTAGTAATTACACTACTAGTAATTAATTGTTTTATCGACACTAACAATTTACTACACTAAAATTGAGGCATTATTATCTTTTTATTTTTTTTAGTTTACTGTGGTGGTGGAATTTTTCTGTAAAATGGAATTGTTGAAGTTTCATGAAATTTTTCTGTAAAGTAGAATGTGTTAAAGTTCATTTCATTTGACAGGTTTACCAATTACAATGTGAATGTAGTTATGTAGTTTTATCAGCTAGTTTGTACAGTATTTGGTCCTGTGTTTTGGCAGATGACCAATAGCTGATAGCACCTTGTCCAATAATGGACTATGTTTACATAATTTTAACCTAGTTTATGCAGTTTACTAATGTTCCTATCAGGAGCCTATTTTTAATAAAGTGGTCAGAATTTTTACTAAAATATATGTAAATGATTGTATTTCACGCATTTAATTTGTATTGATTTTAGATCTCTGAAACAAACAGAAATACAACCTGTGTATTTTGGGACTTTAAACTTGATGGAATTGGAGGATGGTCGACTGATGGCTGCACTTTCGTATATGGATCAGATGATGGGAGTGACAGGCAGTATTGCGAGTGCACTCATCTAACTAACTTTGCTATACTTATGGTAAGTGACATACTGTATAAGTAGCAATAACAATGTACCCTTTTATGTCAAACACAATCAATTTATTTAATATACATTTTGCATTAGCAGCACACATACATTTATCAATAATTGTGATAGTATAGCAGGACCGTAGTACAATAGAAGCAACAGCAGCAGAAATTATTGAAGTATAAAAGAATTTGATTTGATTTTTTCATCGACATCGTCGGCGTCACAGCTAATGCAATGACAAATCATTCTAGAACAGATGAATGTTCTATACAAAAGTAAAAATTAATTGATATTATTGTTAACATCTGATGTCGTCATCGTCAACATCATTGTCTTATTTAAATTCACATTGTAAATTGTGTTGTCATTTTTATCGACTTTTAATAGGATTTTTATAATCTGGATGCTCTTCCAGCAGCAGCTGACATTGTGACTACTGTTGGTTTAAGCATATCAATTGTATCGCTTTTTCTTACGGTCCTTACTTTTGTATCTAAAAGGTATGTACACATTTACTTATAAATTTAGACATTTACTTTAGAATTTATAGCACATGTCTGAACTTTAGCAATCTAATCGATTTAATTGTGTAATTGTGTTACTTTTACAATCAAAATTTGAAAGATAGGTATTCTTACTCTGAGTGCCATTGTGCAAAATGGAATTGATAATTGCAATACAATATTTTACCTATTTAGGAAGTTTCGGAGGAGTGAGCCGAAGATCATTTTATGTCAGCTGTGTGTGTCTTTGCTTGGTCTGTATATTGTATTTCTTGCTGGAATTGATCGAACTGAAAGCAGTCTAGGATGTATGGTTGTTGGAGCTTTTCTACATTTCTTCTTGCTATCGTCAATCTTCTGGATGAGTGTTCAAGCTGTAAACATGTATTATTTATTTGTAAAAGTCTTTGATGCACATGTGTCACATTTTCTTAAAAAAGCTTGCTTGTTTGCTTGGGGTAAGTCTATTTTACTTTATTGGTTTCTTATGTATATTTTAGAGTGTTAGAGCGGGTACGTTTTGTATTCGTTTATTTTTATGCTGTTAAAAAATTTCCAATATAAACATTTTGTCGTAAAACTATAATTGAATTACATAACTCTTGTATTTCTTTCTTTAGGTACACCGGTGGTGATTGTTTTAGTTTCTGTATTCATTGATATTGATACCTATGTCGATGCTAAAACTCAGTAAGTTTTTTAAAGACATATTGCAAGCCTATATATTATTTGATTTCATATTCCAATGTAGAATGATTCTGTCCTTGCACAAACTTTTGTCAACCTAAACCTAAACCTAAAAACGAACCTACTAATTTATTAAGTATATAATCATAACTGAGGTGAGTTTTAAGACTCAATAATAGGTCTATATATTAAATTGTATTAAGTATTGAATAAATTGATTGAAATAACACTTTATTCTACATTGAGTTTTGTTGAGACCACTTCCTCCTGACTTTAACCAATTATAGTGTAACAGGGGTAGTTGTTGTTTTATTTATTTTTCATTGTGTTCTTGGTGATACTACTAAAATATACATAGTATACTACAGGAATATTTCATTTATTCCTACAAAATTTCATACAAGAAAATTGTAAGGAAAACCTAGGTATTAAAATATATTGTGTACATTAGTATGGATCAACCAAATGGTCCATATGCATTCTTGTGCATTTCTGAAATACTGTTTATTGGAAAACCTTGAATAATTAAAGCTTACCTTGCCATTATGTTTCATTGCAGTTGTTTCCTGACCCTCCAACGTATGTACTACGCTGTAGCAATTCCTGTCGCCCTATCCTTACTTTTAAACATGATCATATTCAGTCTGGTTTTACATAGTTTAAGCCAACTTGGAAAAAACACCAATCAATCACCTAAAAAAGGAAAGATAAGCAAACACAGAGGGATGCAGATGTTACAAAATACAGTGAGCGTTACAACAGTTTTGGGTTTAACGTGGCTGATCGGATTTTTTGCCATTGGAGATGCATCAGAAATTATGCTGTGGCTTTTTTGTATTCTTAATTCTTTACAGGGGTTTCTTATCTTTGTAATGTACTGTGTCAGAAACAAGGAAGTACGAATTCACTGGTGGAAGATCTTACTCAATGTACCAAGAAATACCAAACGTTTTCGATCATTTGTGACCGGTGACACCAAACTATTTTCATCTCGCAAGCAACAGACATTTTCCAACTCGTCTTCGTATCCCAGAAAAAATCTCAATGAAAGTAGTCAGCTTAGTCTCGGTAAACAATCAAGCACATCAGCAAACATAAGTCTGAGATACTGACGATATCTTAATATATACCTTATTATGTCAATGACACATTTATCCAACAAATTTGTATACGACATAGGCCTAGTTCAGACTAGGTGGATAAACCCGGCTCAACTCTCCGGGTTTATCCACCTGCCAGTCTGAACTATGTGGCTTATATCAATCGACCTGTGTTCCTACAATATAGTAACAACTAGGCCTGGCATGCCACCGTGTCTAACTTTTCTAAGCCGGGCTTTAATCACTGCGGGGGATCTTGCGTTGACTTCGGGTAACAAAATTACCAATCGGCATTCAATTACGTGTGCTGTGAGCGAGCGTACGTTTTTCGCCCGCAATGCTTCAAAGCACGTTTCCTGGCTACGGTTCATTAATATGCAAATTCTTTCCCCTGGCTAATCCAGCTAGTCTGAACCGTAACGCCTGGCAAAGTTAAGCCAGGCTTAACCTTGAGCCAGGCTTAACGTAAGCCTGGCTTAACTTCAAGTCTATGGAGAATTGGATTGGATTTCCGCCTGGTGTAGAGAGAATATTTGGACTTACAACCGTCTTTGGATTGGACTAAATGAATTATTCGGAACACCAAGAAGCCCAGCAAAGAATACTTATTTTCAATGGGTACCATCCTGTGGTGATTGGGCAGTACTACACCGGGAGACAATTCCCTACACTTTTTTTGAAAAGTGCAGGCTTACTGTGTTCTTTAACGTGCACATGGGCCATAGTGCAGACGAGACCAACTGATGTTTCATCCGAAAGGGGGTGCGTTATTACAACTTGCATTCAGGCCTCCAGCTGAAACACAAGGAGACCAGCGATGGGAATTGAACTGGGAACCAATAAATAGCATATATTCACGGTTCAGCGCACACACAGCTGCACCACCAGTTTTTTAACCGACAGAGCTAAGCTCTCTCTAAATTCATGCTAAAAAAGGACTTTTAAATATAAGTGCTTGCCTATTAACAATAAAAGAAATTGAAAAAAAAACCAAGTAACATATTTTGTGTTTATTTACAGTATTATCAAATAGGTGCTTGCCTGGGCCCACTGCCGGTGTCCAGTCAACACCTTAAGACCTTACCACACTAGAAATATCTGTTAAGCTTTTCAAAGGTTATCCTTGGTGCTCACACCAAATAAATTAAATCCAATCGAATCCATGTTTTTCTTTGTTAATGTAAGACGAACCTCTGACATGGGTAAAATGTCGTAATAGTTTGGAAGTGGAAAGCTTTGGAAAATTTCGTGGGGAGAGGACTACTTTGACAGTCTCGGTCAAATGCCATTTCCAGGCAATAATAGATGTGCCTATTATTTACTTACCTCAGCCCCAACCATGGTGGAGATGAAGTGGGCAGTGTGTGACCAGCGACCAACGGCGGCGGAAGCGGTGCCATTGGCTCATCTACTTTTTCTACTGGGGGCCTGGCGTCCCCCTCTTTTGTGACTGTTCCCAGCACCAGTGACAAACATTTTACGAACGCTGCAATGTTATTATTATTATTATTATTGTTATTATTATTATTATTATTACAGTATTATTATTTGGTGCTTAGAGACCTTGTTTATTTGCGACTTATAAATTGACCTATTAGCCTATTATTATAAAATATAGATTTTTTTTTTTTTCATTTTCTAACGAACATTACATGTTCCCTTTTTGAGTTGAGCAACCAAATGTTGATTGATGTATATACGCGCGTCTGTAATGCTTCCCTGAAACCCTCCCTCGAGCTTGAGAAAAAAAGAATGGACTCTGTATTTAGGCATATGGGGGAGGCGCTCTTTATGGAGCGACGCTCTTTATGCTAATCATGAAGGTGTACAGTAAGTGTAACTGATTGGCTTAGAGTAAACCTTCAATTTCAATTCCATCAAATTTAACGAAAACAATAAGATACTTAATTAGGCCATTTAAAAAAATAAAGTTCTCTGAAGGTTAAAGAATTTACAGTAACTGTAGGTAATGTGGGCGTTAGTCATTTGTGAAACAATGATTTTCTGTCAAGTGTTATATTGAACTGGGATCCCCCTTAAATCCGCCACTGTTGGCGGATTTAAGGGGGCGCCCAGTCAGCACAGGACCCCAACCCCCCCCCCCCCCCATTTTTTTTATTAATTATAAAAAAAATGGAGAAAACAGACAAATTTGTATTCCACTTTTAATCTGAGAGTGCCATTTCCGACCATTTAGAGGTGCCATCATATTTTTTTTCTTAACTCAGCCCCAACTGGATCGTCTGGCTGAGGTGGGTGGACATTCAATTTGCACAAGGCACCCCCTCTATTTCGACTTCCTGGATCCGCCACAGTTGGCATTTTTCCTTGATTCTTAACATGGGGATCGATAAGCTCACTGTGTGTGTTACCCGGTATAAACAAATTCTTAGGATTCAAATCCAATGGCGGATCCAGGAGAGATTTGTCACAGATGGACGATGTACCACCTCAGCTTGGTGGGGGCGGAAGAAAATGTATGATTAATGCATTATATATCCGTCTATCATATCACTGGAATATGGAAACAATATATATTAACTTTGATTGTTTTAATTACAAATTCAAATTCAATTCCAATTTATTCGCCATCACATAAAAACAATTACAATATACAAAATGCGGTAGACACAGTTAAAACTTCATTAAAAGGGGACAGATGCCAGGATAAACAATGGAAGTCTTCAAAAAGAAAAACTTGTTTCCAATGGGGTCCAGGCAATTTATTAGGCCTACTCCATCATAAATGTATTGTATTTGCATTGCGAATTATTGATACGATTTAGTTAAATATAGATCGTTTCAGAGGCTTAGTTTAATCGATTTTATGGATAAATACCGTACTCTACTAATATGTAGAAAATACATATCATTTTTCTCCGCGACGAAGTGTGGTTTTCTTCTTTTTTTGAGAGGGGAAAACTGGGGGAGGGGAAGAAAATTATCTGGGGAAAATTCCCCCTGCCCCTCCCCACCTTGCCGGCGCCGCCATTGAGAATGATGATGACATAGGCGGTGGAATAGTGATGGAAGGACTACTGACATCAAAATAAGCCAACCAGAATGTGGCCAGAGCAAGAGATCGAAGTACCACCATGGTGAGTGCGAAAATTTGAAGAAACAGTAACTCTAGATGGCCGAAAATGACTCTTAGGCCTATATAGTACCATCATAGGCCAAATAAAGCACCAACACATTCCTCATTTTTCCCCGCATCACAAACTTCAATTACTGTACAGTTGGTCCATGGCATAACAGGCCTATTCGCTCTTTCCCATTTATACAGTTCATTTCAAAAATGTTCATGCACATACTTAACAGAGGATAAAAAAAGTTCTGTAGTTGATGTGCAGGACAAAGGCCTTGGCAAAAAGAATTAATTTTGAGGGGATCAGTGATATTCACAAGAGCAAGGATTTTTGGATGAAATGTTGGATGAAATGTTTTTAATCGACAGTGGCATCCAATTTGGGTTTCAATTATGATTTTTTTCCAATTTGAAATATTTTACTTTTTTTTTACTATTTTACTTAGGACAAAATTAAGCTAAATTATGCTAATTTTGCCAAAAATTATGCCAGCATAATATGCTAGGTGCTAAACGGGTCTAAATTATGCCAAAAAGCATAATTATGCTAGGCGCAGGGCAGGGGTGACGCCAGGATTTACCCGACGGGGGTGGGGCCGATCGTCCCCGACCGGGGGACGGGCGATGTCCCCGACGAGGGGTAATATTTCCCCGACGAGGGGTAATATTTCCCCGACGAGAAATATTTCTCCGACGAGAGCAAAGTGGGCGTGGTCGAGCGGCGCTTAAAATGTTTCGAAAGTGGTCCAGGGGCGAAGCCCCCGAAAATTTTGATAATTTAGGGGTTTCAAATCGATTTTAGAGTCTACTAATATGTGCAAAATACATACATTTTTTTTCTCCCCGACGAATTGTGGTTTTTCTCCCCGACCGGGTGGGGGGGGGGGAAACAGTTCTACCCCGGCCCCCTCCCCCTGCTGGCGCCCGGCCCCCTACCCCTGCTGGCGCCACCCCCGAAGCGGGGTTCCCGGAACACACTCACGAATAAGTTAGCATGCATACGTCATAAGATTACGTCACTTTTCCTGGCAAGGCAAAGACTATATACTCTTTCCCGGAGTACTTTTTTAATGGATAATAATAATAATAATAATAATATTTATTTGAAACTTCACTTTTAAAACAGTGGCACACGATGATGGTGCGTTAGTATAACATACGACTTGTTTAAAATTTATAAAGAGTTAAAATTAATCAGTTGACAAATTAAAAATGTTAAAAATTTCAGTCCAACAATGTTTAAAATTTGTTTTGTTTCCTACTACTTATAACACAGAGGTAAAAATTTTTTCGAGTTGCTTAGGCCCTAATTATTCCTGGTTCATAATTCTACTTCTAGTTTGCCAGGCAGATAAGACTTACACATTTTATCAAATATAGTACCTATTTCCTTATTATTTCTGTAATATTTATACATTTCATTGTTGCCAAGCATGAGACAGGTTTTTGTATGGAAATCCCCAGCTAGATAAACCAATTCCAAACAAACTGGATAAACGCTACTGCTTTGCGCACGGATGCCTTGTCTAGCAAGGGCTACAAGAGCCGTATTGTTAGCATTGTATAATACTTAAACAAGGTAGGCTACGTCTGCAACTGAATTATTCTTGGGTAATAGGTAGGCCTACTGTAATTCTGTAATTTCTTATTTAATTTATTTCTTTCGAAATTGTACTTTCTATATCACATATAATTGCATTGTCTACTAAGAGGCCTAGGCCTCATCGTTCCCCACGCTACAGTACAGACGTACTGTATGTTAGGCAACAGAATTGCACCTTCCTTCTCAGGTGTTTTGTAACATTTGCATATTGTTAGCAAACCAGCTGCGTGTATTCCTTTGTGAAAATTGAGTACCGCGACGTAGCATTTGCATCCCCTCTTGGAAAGAGAGAACTTCGAAATAATTGTCTCTAATCACCGTAATTTAGCTTACACTTATGCTTGGAGGGAGCACTTAAAATGTACAATAATCATTTCACTACCCGACAAACCCCGAACTATTCCTTTGTGAAAATTTAATGAGTACCGCGGCGTAGAATTTGCATCCCCTCTTGGAAAGAGAGAACTTCGAAATAATTGTCTCTAATCACCGTAGTTTAGCTTTACACTTATGCTTGGAGGGAGCACTTAAAATGTACAATAATTATTTCACTACCCGACAAACCCCAAACTTTATTCATGCATTACATAAATAGTTTCATCTTCTTGCTGTACTCCAACATCACTGGCGCATGTAACAACCAACTGACTGCAGACCATTTTCGGTCACACATTACTCTCCATAACGCAGCAGTCACCTCTGGGTATGGTCACTATGGAAATTGGTGTGGATAGACATAAGCATAGACATCACTTATTCATCCAAAAATTTTAGAAATTACAGAAGATCCTCATTGAGGAACCTGGACTCTTCGGGCAATCTATAGCGCCACCATCGGAAACACCCTCTCTCAGAAGAAGTTTGTCCTGACCAATAGTAGGCTTAATCTGGTTTCTATGGCCCTGCGAGACTCTAAAACCCTTTCAAATCCCATAATTGTCGGGTTTCCTAGATTCACGCTAGACTCCCTCTGACGGGTTTTGGACCGCCCCTAGGCCTGCTTACTATGCCCAATCGGAATAAATCAGTCTTCGCATCGGGTACATCGCCCCTCCCCTTGTCAGTTACATCGAATCCTCATCGCCTATCCCGTTGGCGACAAAGGACCTACATTGGCAATTCATGGCGCCACAAATGTCATTAACATCATAATTATTCATTTAAAAAACAACATTGTCTTCATCGATGTAGTAAGTGGTGTAAATATAGTGCTCTCTCTCTATCACTGTAAATATATGCAGCATACATACAATGAGCATATATATATATATATATATATATATATATACTGTATATATT